AAGAACGCCAGTTGTTGGGTAACGGTGTATATACATGTATATATATATGAACCTCAGTCGGGAAATAGTTTCACACGTAGGGAGAAAAGAAATGATAAAATCAAACATATCATACATTAAAAGAAAAGAAAGTTAGGGCAATTTATGAAACATGAAAGTTACTTTCTCGTCGCGAGCGCGGAGAGAGAAGAATAAACCGCGCGGAGAGAGAAGAATAAACCGCGCGGAGAGAGAAGAATAAAAAATATCTTGGGCGCATAGAAAGAGAAACTTGGAGAGAGAAAATATCTTGGGTGCGAAGAAAGAAAGAAATGGAGAGAGGAAAAATCTTGGGCGCGAAGAAAGAAAAACATGGAGAGAGGAAATAAATAAATATCTTTGGCGCGTAGAAAGAAAAACATGGAGAGAGGAAATATCTTGGGCGCGAAGAGAGAAAAACATGGAGAGAGGAAATAAATAAATATCTTGGGCGCGAAGAAAGAAAAACATGGAGAGAGGAAATAAATAAATATCTTGGGCGCGAAGAAAGAAAAACATGGAGAGAGGAAATAAGTAAATATCTTTGGCGCGAAGAAAGAAAAACATGGTGAGAGGAAATATCTTGGGCGCGAAGAAAGAAAAACATGGAGAGAGGAAATTAATAAATATCTTGGGCGCGAAGAAAGAAAAACATGGAGAGAGGAAATATCTTGGGCGCGTAGAAAGAAAAACATTGGAGAGAGGAAATAAATACCTTCAGTGGGAAGAAAGAAATCTCGGGGGATATAAAATTAAAGCGACGAAATGAGATTCTTCTCATTTGTCTTTACTTTATTTGCATCTGCTTGCTGAATGAAACAAACATTCAAGTAGTTCATGCAAGAGGTTCCCTTACTTACTTCTCAGGTCAAAATCAAGGTCAAATCCAACTTATGACATCTCTGTGTGAGCCCGGCGTCATTGGAAGGAATTGTATTATCAAGGCGGATACATCATATAATGTTAAATTGTCAGTCAAAACATGAACTTACAATGAACTTACAATGTATGCCAATGCGACATTGGCCGTTGCAATTGTGTTGACAACATCGATCCCAGTACAAACAGAGACACCTACAAAAGCAGTATA